TATGTTGAAAATATTTTATTTTTGAAGGAAACTCTTTTGTTGATATTTGTCTTGTCAGCAAAGATGTCGAAAATATGATTGGATGATTAATAAATATATTTGGATTGAAAGAGGTAGAGAGAGAGAGAGAGAGAGGGGAGACAATAGAATACTATTCAGATATATACTTTGCATATTGAATTTTAAACTATAAACTCATGTACAGAATATATAAAGAATACAAGTAATAAGATAAAAAAAATGAGAAGGAATGAAAAGGAAAATAGATATTAGGAAATACACAAAGACAGACTACACAAATACACAGACTTGAGGTATAATATAATTACATGCATAATTTTTCTATAAAAGCAGTTTTTTTCTTTTTTCATTCTAATTTCCTTTTTATTTCTTTGTATTTCTTTATTGTATTTCTTGTATTCTTTATATATTCTATACATGAGTTTATAGTTTAAAATTCAAGATGCAAAGTATATATCTGAATAATATTCTATTGTCTACTTCTATATATATATAGATTTTTTTTATTTAAAACAATGTTATTTTATATTTTCTTGTACAGAAAAAATGGCTGCCAACATCAGAGAAGAAATTCGCAGATTACAACGGCGTAAGCAATTACACTTTCATCCTCAGACCAATGGTGGCGATTCATCAGATATGGAAGGCCCTTCCAGTCCTGGCTCTTCTTTGACTCCTTTTAGTCATAGCTCTAGCGGAAAAGAAAAACCCCTATTCACATTTAGACAGGTAGAGTTTCTTGATTAGTTGCGTGTTTTTCAATAGGAAAATTTTATCCAATAGGAAAAATTTATTTTCTGAAATGCGTCATTTTATATAGATAAAAATATTTACTACTACAGCAGATAAGTATTGGTTTGTAGATATGCCCATAAGAATGGTTTTGTAGGTTGGCTTGATCTGTGAGCGAATGCTCAAGGAGCAAGAAACGCAAATTCGAGAAGAATATGATCAGATCTTACATTTAAAACTGTCCGAACAGTATGACGCTTTTGTCAAATTCACATATGATCAGATACAAAAAAGATTCGAGTCTGCGGCTGCACCTAGTTGTAAGTATAATTTATTCTTAGAATAAAATTTGCACGTTTGTCTATGCTTTTATTCTTTGTATATTACAACTTGTAATTTTTTTATTTTCAGATCTATCATAAGAAAAGAGTCTTATTTATAAGGAGATATTTCTGTGAAGAACATTAGGTAAATTTTGTAAACATGTATTTTTTTTTTTAAGCATGAAATCTCAATCTAGAGATACTATAAAGAAGAGATCAATTTAGAAATCAATCCAGAAAATTTTTTATAACATTTTGTCGTACTGCAGATTTCTACTGTGTGAGACAAATTTTGTTTGCGCCGAGATTCGCAGCATCGCCTTGTTGCGGAAATCATCTTTAAAAGAATAAGAAACGATGTTTTTATCAAAATGTCGTGGAAGAAAAAAAAGGGCTAAAAAAGAAGCGGAAGAAAAAAAATAATTAATAACGTAAGTTCATAGAAGGAAAAAAGAAGAATCGCGTCGAATTACAACTATGAAAATTTACCATGTATACTTTCGAGACTAACATATTTGTACTGTTCAACATTAGAAGTACGCTGGTATCAGGGAACTGATTCTACTTATGTACAAATGTTATTACCGTTAAAAATATAATACATGTGCAGTGCAAAGCTTAATCCAGCTGAAAGAGGGAAAGAAAAAGAGCTGAGAGATTTTTCTCCTAGCTTGTCACAAATATATTTTTCTCTTATCTCGTTTGAGAGAGATTATAAAACGCGGAGAGAAATTCTTTTCGTATACGTTGTGCAGATAGAGCATTGTGTCGAATGCTAAATAATGTATTTCATATAATTTTTCCTTTTACTCGTCTTGATGCTATGATAATTTAAATATTGCTCAAGTATATATGGCAAGCAATGCTCTAAGTATCTTAATACAAACGTGTATCATGCATTTCGCGAATTTCGAGGCAGAAGATAATTTGCGTGATTAAAAGGATTGCCTTTCCTGAGCTCTAACTGCTCTGTGAGAAGCGAAATGATGTTTAGAATTCAATGTATGATTGCGTAAATTAAGGGATTATATAGTTCTATGAATTATTTGTAAATCGGAATCTATACATGAAAGATACATTAGCATAACTTGTTAAATGGATAGTAAATTTATTTCGACTGGTTCGCGAGTTGTAATGGACTCGCATCAAGAAGATTCTAAGATATTTTTGTTTGACTAGAAAATTAGCCATTTTATGTAAAAATACGATTGTAAAATTGTAAAACTTAATATTTTGCAGTTATTTTTATTGCAGTTGTTACATTTTTGTTTCATCATTAATTAAAAATTTTTATAAAAAAAAAAAAAAGAAAACACGATCTCATTTAAGATATAAATGTTTACAAGAATCGCAGAAGTATCGGATTAATATTGTAGACTGTAGTAGGCATTGTATGAAGGCATTGTGAAGCATAAGTATTTGGAATAAAGATTTCATAAAATCTCGTCACATACAGTATTTCTGTTCCCTGGTAGCAACGAATTTCTGTGTAGTTTTAATAAAAAAGTGCTGAATAATGAATATAATTATATACCATACTCTTTAACTGTGCCTATTATTATATAAAAATATTTATCACGATTATTACTATTAGTACTGTTATTTACTATTAATGTCGTTTCGTAAAAAATGTTTTTCTTAGTATACAGTGAGATTCTTATTATGTTGCAATAATGAATTTTTCACGCAAAGATTTTTTCTTTTCTTATTTAAGAAAAATATGATCTTGCGGTCCTTGGTGGTTGCGTGCATTTTGACGAAAATTTTTATTTTGCCGAAAATTAAGAAAAGTTATAGGGCACCAAGGGAAACTGTGGTAAGAGTTCTTATTAAATATTCTCTAAGCATAATATAAAATAATCTTCGACCGATTAAGCTTTTTACGGTCGTGATTACCGAATAAAGGACATCTCGTACAATTTCGAGCGGCATTCGAATTACTACTGCCTTTTTTATATTGCGCGAAAGAAAAGAAAGAAAGTGTTTCTCAGTTACCATGATATTTTTGGGAGCATCATACGTCGATGGGTGCTCATGCACATACACACATAGAACATATATACGCATATAAACAAGCAACACGTGAAAAAAAACATATATGTTATATCGATTGTCTATCAATTACTGAATGTGAGAAAACAAAAAAAAAGAAATTATAAAGAAATATAAGCGAGAAATATAATTTTTAATAGTTAACATACTAAATAATATCTATCTATTTGAAGCTCGCGATAGGTACTATTATCATTAAGGAAATTCGTGAAAACACATAAGCGATCGTGTGAAATTTCAGGGGATTTTATTTCGATTACAAGAGATATACCTCTGTATTATATTGTATATATATAAACATTCTATTATCGAAATAAAGATCAACTTAAGACTGAATAAAGAAGAGTTTCCTTATTTCCATCAAGTAAAATATGTATATATATATAATTTTACTTTATATATATATATATAT